AAGATAAATTTGTTCAGTTGGAAAAATGTACACCTAAGAGTCCTTGTTTTAGAACTTCTAAAGGAAAAGTAAAAAAGAAGAAAAATCTGTTTGTTGGAAAATTTATAGCGGAAGCATTTATCAAACCAAACACTTAAAACTTCAATATTCAGGTGGGACATGTGGTGCATGCCTTTAGTCCCGGCATTCAGGAGGCAGAGGCAGGCAGATCTCTGTTGAGCTCAAGGCCACCCTGGTCTACATAGTGACTTCTAGGCCAGCTGGGGCTACTCTGTCTCAAAAAGACAAAAAAATAATAATAACTTCACTATTCAATAACGGAGGGGTAGTTAGATATAATCTAATGTAATATCTTAATGTAACAATTTGTAGTTGTTAATATGTCTAAAGATTATATTTCACTGTATATAAAATACCTATGAAACAATATTAGCAACTTAGAGAGCTCATCACAGAGCACAGAGCATGTAGTGCTTTCTGTGAAAGCAGCTGGCAAGTGGGCTGCTTTTGCTGTGGTCTCCAGGCTTATAGACAAACCAAGACAGTATCCATTTCATAGCAGCAAGGTGAACATTAAGCAAATTACTAGCCTGACATATAAAACCAAAGTGCCAACTTATTCATGTATGAATCCTGTGTACCATTTCATGCTAGGCAATTTCAAAAGAAAATCAGTTTATAATCTACGTAATGGGTAAATAATTGGCACTAGGGAAAGCAGGCAATTCGACTTTTTAGCATCACAGTGAGATAGTTTGGTCACATGTATCCCCACATTTAGGGAGAACTATGTCTTAGATAAAGTGTTTCTAATCAAATCTAACAAAGCTGGCAGTTATTCTATTTAAGGTTGCCTTGATCCTGACCCCCACTCTCTCTGCTGTAATGGTTAATTTTGATTGTCAGCTTGGTTGGATGGAGGGGTGCCAAGGAGAATTAGTAAAGTGCACCTCTGGCTCTGTCTGTGGCAGTTTTTCCAAAGACAACTAGACCATGAAGGTTCTGACCTAATGAGTGTTTAGTTGAGTGATAGGTTCAAATTCAACTACTAAGGAGAGTGGAAACTGTGGAAAATGAGGCCTAGTTGAAGGAAGAGGTCCCTGGGGGCATGCCTTTGAAGGTAGATGTTGGCCCCTTCCTCTTACTCCTTTGCCTTCTGGCTGCCATGGAGTAAGCAGCTTTGCCCCATCAGATCCTCTCCATCATGATGTTCTGCCTTGCCTCAGGCCCCAAGCAATAGAGCCAACCAACCATGGACCAAAACATCTGAAATCATGAGTCAAATAAATCTTTCTTCCTTTAAACTGAGCTGTTTCTCTGATGTATTTGTCACAGTAGACAAATGTTCTAACTAAGGCACACATTCGCGAGTAAGCAGCTTTGCCCCATCAGATCCTCTCCATCATGATGTTCTGCCTTGCCTCAGGCCCCAAGCAATAGAGCCAACCAACCATGGACCAAAACATCTGAAATCATGAGTCAAATAAATCTTTCTTCCTTTAAACTGAGCTGTTTCTCTGATGTATTTGTCACAGTAGACAAATGTTCTAACTAAGGCACACATTCGCATACATATATATGTCTGTCTATCTATCTATCATCTATCTATCTATCTGTCTATCTATCTATCTATCTATCTATCTATCTATCTATCTATCTATCTATCTATCTATCTATCTATCTATCTATCTATCTATCTATCTATCTATCTATCATCTGTCTGTCTATCATCTGTCATTCCTGGCTCATAACTCCCTCCTGTGAGTCATAAAAACTCAGATCTGGGGTTGGAGAGATGGCTCAGCAGGTAAGGGCACTGGCTGCTCTTGCAGAGAACTCAGGTTCGATTCCCAGCACCCACATGGCAGCTAACAACCATCTGTAACTCCAGTTCCAGGGGCTCTGACACCCTCTTCTGTTCTCTGCGGGCATTGCACAACATAGGTACACCTACCTACATACTGGCAATACACTCATATACATAAAATAAAAATAATAACAAAATTTTTAAAAGCTCAGATCTTTCCTGCCTTTCTGTCTTAGAGATAGTTATAAAGAAATTGACTGATATTCTCTTATTCAGTAGTAGGTCATATGACCCTCTTCATCCCCAGGGGTCCTGTCCCATATCCTAGGGAAATGAATGCATCACAGAGAGGCCAAGAAAACTCTCCACAGACAATTCTTGCTGACTTCCCCACTCTGTTGATTAGCAACCATGTCTATTATGCAGTGAAGTCACCATAAGAACCTAAAAGGATGGGGTTTAGAGAGCCTGCAAATAGCCAAACCTGTGGGGGTTCCTAGAGAGTGGTGCACGCATAGACGGTGTGGAATGCACTCCTTCTCCCCTACTTTGCACCATGCATCTTCCATCTGTATTCTTTGTGGCATTCTTTATAATAAACCAGCAAATGTAAGTAACTGTTTCCCTGGGTTTTCTGTGCCACTGGAGCAAACGAATCAAACTCAAGGATGTGTCATGAGTACCCTAGTTCATAGCCAGCCATTCAGAAACACAGATAAAATAATCTGGGTCTGTGACTGGCATCTAAAGAGGGGCAGTCTTAGACAGCAGGAATGAACATGTGGGATCTGTTGTTGTTTCCAGGTAGACGGTGTAAGGACTGGATTAGATTAAGAGAACCCAGCTAGCTACTTTCCACTGCAAATTTGACGTGCTTGTTGCTGGAGAGATTCCATGCCTTCTGAGGTTCCAGAAGTCTTATGTGTTGATTATGGTATAAGAATAGAGGAGAAAAGGCCCAACCTGTGAAGTCTCCATGTACCACAAAGTAGCCATGAGCTACTATACTAGTGTTATTGAGTGCTCTTTTTTTTTTTGGTTCTTTTGAGACAGGGTCTCCCTGTAGCCCGAGTTGGTCTGGAACTTGCTATGTATACCAGGCTGCCCTTGATCTCACAGAGAGATCTACCTGCCTTTGTCTCCCAACTGCTGGGATTAAAGGCACGCACCACCATGCTTGGCTCATTGCATCTTAATTGCAAGCTATGAAAAGAGCAAGTATCAACATAGGAAATGTCTTCTCATTTTAATACAATTTCTCTGTGCCAAAGACTTTCTGAAGGGAGGTGCTGGCCTCTTGGTACTCTCTAACATTCTGGAACATGAAAAGCATGTGTCATGGACATGAACAAACCACAAGCCACTTTAATCCCATTTACTGGGAGGTCATGGCAGATCATATATTACCCGCATCACAGGGCAGAACAAGCCCTTTGCCAAGGCTGGAAAGAAATGTGAGGAAGGCCTTGGTTTCCAGCCAATGGAGTGAGGGCCTGGGCAGGGACTAGGCCACCATTCCACAGCTCTGATCTGTCAGCACTCTCGTATTTCCCCAGCCAAAGATGGGCTCCCAGGAATAGAGCAAAAGGAGAGGGTGGGATATTCTTCCCACATTGACCTCTCTAAATTCTCCCCATTTCAACCTGAATACTATCCCCACCATGAAGCCTTCTTTGACTCATGGCCTGCTTGTTATTTTCCCCTCTCCTTCCAGTCACAGTGATTGGTCCTGGAGAATGTTGCCTTACCTTAGCTAGCTGGCTAATCAGAGTTTCAATGGGCTTTATGGGCAGCTGCCTCTTTCAGAAGAACCTTTCATATGGAACAGCTGCATGGGCTCTTCCAGGCCTGTGGCCAAGCTCTCTTCTGCATGTCCCCTTCCTAACTCTTTCTATCATGTGCCACACACACCCAGAGTCACTCATATCCTTATAGTTAGAGCTGCTAACACCTATGCTTTCTGCCTGTTGCTGGCTTTAAGTTGGGTTTTTGTCACTTTTACCAAAAAAGTCCTGACTAATATAGCACATCAGATATTTCAGTTGCTTTTATATGATAGCCATCTTGCATCTAGCCTTAAACTTCCTCTTAATCCAGACTTTCAGACTCTTTTCTTATTTTAAAATTTTATTTATTTATATATTAGTTTATTTAAATTTACCTATTTTTATTTTACATGTGTGAATGTTTTACCTACAATTATGTAAGTGCACCCCTGTGTGCATTGCCTTTGAAGGCCAGAAGAGGGTGTTGTATCCCTTGGAACCAGAGGTACAGATAGATGTTAGCTGCCATGTGGGTGCTGGGAACTGAACCTGGGTCCTCTATAAGAGCAGTCAGTACTCTTAACTGCTGAGCCATCTCTCCAGCCCCTATTTATCTTGAGACCTGGTCTTCTTGCTATATAGCCCAGGCAGGACTCAAACCAGTGATCCTCCTGCCTCAGCCTCCCAAGAGCTGGGATTGTAGGTGTGCATGTGTCACTGTGCACTAGAGACTATTTTTTAAAATATTTTATTTATTATTTTTATTTTATGTGTATGAGTGTATTGACTGCATGTATGTGAGTGCACCTGTGTTGTGCAATGCCACAGAGGTCAAAAGAGGGCTTCAGATTCCCCTGGAACTGGAGTTAAGGATGGTTCGTAGCTGCCATGTGGGTGCTGGGAATCGAACCCTGGTCCTCTGCAAGAGCAGTCAGTGCTCTCAACTGCTGAGCCATCTCTCCAGCTCCAACTGTTTTTTTTTTTTTAATAATTCAAGCTTTGTCAGCCAGGAACAGAACAACAAATATCCTCCTCCCCTTTCTTTCTGAGAGGTTGAGATAATTTCACTGTAAAAATTTGTGCCAAAGAAGCCAAGTTCAATCTATGATGTTACTGCTGATTTCTTCATAAAAATAGCTAATTATAACTTCTTTCATAATGTTTTGGAAATTTCTCAGCTGTCAGCCCAGCAGCAGAGCATGTTACATGTTTTGTTCATTTGTTTGTTTTTGTTTTTGAGACAGAGTCTATGGCCTAGGCTGGCCTCAAACTGGCAGTTCTCCTGTCTCAGTCTTCTGTGTGCTGAGATCATGGGTGCACCCCCACATGGCTTCTTACCTAGTCATAAAAAGAGTCACTGCTGCTACTTTTCTCTCTCAAATCCTCATGTGCCTTATTTGTTTTGTAGTAAGGAATGGGTCACTCACCCTCTCTGGTATCTATCCAACTCATGGAGCACTGTGTGGTCACAATACTCAAACACCAGATGAAGCCTCCGCTTCTTCCGGAAGACTTCCAGAAGGTTCACAAGGTTGGGATGCTTGAGTTGCTGAAAACATAAAAGGCAGGGTTGAAAATCTGAGTTATGAAAGAGTCTCTCTCTAATTTTGATCCAATCAAAAGAAAGCAGATTTCCTTCAGGAGTTTTATTTCTTGGATTAAAGGAAGTTGTGATCAGGACTGTCAGATCTCTCTCTGTGGACCGTTTCTTGGTGACTTGTAAATAAAACATGACTAGAACGCAGGTGGTTTATGAAGCAATGATGTCTGAAGGGAATGTAAAAGGAGGAATTTTGAGCCAGGCTGGTGGTGCATGCCTTTAATCCCAGCACTCGGGAGGCAGAGGTAGGCGGATCTCTGTGAGTTCAAGGCCAGCCTGGTCTACATAGTGAGTTCCAGGACAGCTGGGGCTACAGGGAGACATTGTCTCAAAAAGACCAAAAAAAAAAAAAAAAAAGGATTTTAAGTTGATACAAGTTCTACCTTGAAGACTTGAGTCAAGCCCTTTCCTAAGATCTCCCTCCACTGGCTCTGTGCCCTGCCAGATCACACTTTCATCGTCACCAAGTAGTAACTAATATGTATTAGAAATTACTGTGAATTTAGTCATTTAGTGTTCCCTAGCATCACAGATACCTATAAATATAATAGATAAATCCAATAGAATATAAGAACCATGGCATCAGAAACTGTGTCCTCTTGTTTACTCAAAATTATGTCACAGCACCCCCAGTGTGGACCCAGTGCATAACAGACACTCCACAATGTCTTGTAAATGTGAGAGTGAGCAGTTTCCTAGACTGGTGAAACATTGAAAAACAGGAAGAAAGGAAGGCTGTCTAATCTGATGTGCCTGTGCATGTGTCTAGAAAAGAAGGCCAAGGTTGATTTAGATCACCAACTTGATTAGATGAAGAAACACATTAGTGAGACACACTAATGATGTGTCTCTGTGAGGGTGTTTCCAGAGAGGACTGACTGAGGGGGGAAGACTAGTTCTGCATGGGAGTGGCACCTCCCATGGGCTAGGGTCCTAAACTGAATGAAAAGGGAAAAAGAGGAAGTGAGTTCAGTGCCAGCATCCTCCTTTCTCTGCTTCCTGTTGCACCAAGATGTGAGTAAGCAGCTTCACACTCCTGCTGCCACATTTCCTGCCAGAATAGACATGAGCTGCAAGCCAAAATAAGTCCCTCTTCCCCTAGGTTGCTTCTTGTCAGGTGTTTGGTCACAGCAATAAGAAAAGTAATTAATACAGGTAAGGGTAAATGCTGGCTTAGCAGAAAAAACTCATGTTCTTCGTTTCCTGGCCTCTCTGTACATAATCAGAAGCATAACTAGACACTGATCTATTTTATGAAAGAGGAGAAAGAGAGAGAGAGAGAGAGAGAGAGAGAGAGAACTAAGAAAGAAAAAAACCACAGAGAAACCTGCCCTTGGATTCCCTCTCTGCAGTACATTCTTGCTTTGTGATCTATTAACCGCCACCAGGGTCCATTCTGTCACTGTTGGGTGGTTTTAACACAGGCACTTTGCTCCTCTTTTCTGAATCTTTGATAGTATCACAGTAGTTATTTTCTCATTGCAGTGAACAAATACCTGACAAAAAGCAACTTAAGGGAGGGTTTGTTTTTGGCTTACATTCTAAAGGGATACAGTCTATCCTGGCAGGAGTGTGAAGCAGCTGATAATCTTGTCTTGTCAGTCAGATGGTAGAGAGTGGACAGAGAGTGGGTCTGGACTATAAAACCTCAAGTCCCACCCCCAGTAACCCCCTTTCCAGCAAGGCTCCAGCTCTTAAGGGTTCCACAACTTTCCAAAAAAATGCCACTACCTGGAGACCAGGTGTTCAAACCCATAGCTGTGGTGGACAATTCACATTAAACCATCACAATCACTAAATAATTTTCCATAAGAATTTTGCAGTCAAGTGTGTATTATATAGCTTTTCTCCCCCAACTTAAAAAATTGTGATAAAACACAACTTAAAATGTGCCATCTTAAGCATTTTTAAATGTGTAGTCCACTGACATTAAGTACATTCATATTTAGGCAATGATAACCACTCTACCTCTAAAGCTCTTTTCATTTGCAAAACTGAAACATTGTGTCTGCCAAAGAATGCTCAGTTTCCTCCCACAAAGCCACTATTGTCTTCATTCCATTTTCTGACTTTGTGATTGTGACTACTCTAGTACTTTATAGCAATAGAATAACACAGTATTTGTCCTTCAGCAACTGGCTCATTTCACATAGCACAAAGTCTTCAAAAGTCATCTGTGTTATACACAGATCAATACCTCCTTTAAAAAAATTACATGATTTATTTTATGTTGGGGATGTTTGTAACACAGCACCTATGTGGCTAAAGAAAATAACCCAAGGGAGTTGGTTCTGTCCTTCTACCATGTGGATTCTGGGGATCAAATCCAGGTAATCAGATTTGACAGCAAGCACCTTTACCTGCTGAGTTACCTCGCATTTTGTTTATCATTCATCTGTTGATGGATGAATACTTGGGTCTGAAACTTAGCTGTTATGAATAATGCCACTATGGATGAGGGTTTACACACAGGCAAGCAGATGCTCCATACATGATCAAAGATAGAGGAAGAAGCACTGAAGCTCTTGAACTGCATGCCAGAGCACATTTGTCTGGGCCTTGTGAAGGTACCAAAATCAGTGATTTCCTTTGTGAAATCCCTCTGTGCTTTCGAGGTGAGAAATTCCTGCTCTACATACTGCCTTTGACAAAGTAAGCACAACCACCCAAAGTACCTTATGGCTCATGACTTGGTCCGTTTGTGCTCCTAGAACAAAATGCCTAAGATTGGCTCATTTATAAAGAACAGAAATGTATTTCTTACAGAACCAGAAGCTGGAAAGGTCAAGGTCAAGGTGCCAGCACTGTGCCTTGGGAAGGTTGCTCTCACCTTCTAAGATGGCTGTACTGCATCATCACATGGTGAAAGGTAGAAAGGCAAGTGAGCTCTCCCTTCAGCATCGAACCCTTTTATTTTACTCTTTATTTCATGTAGTACTGGGGATCAAACCCAGGGTTTTGTGCATGCTAAGCACAGTCTTTACCTCTGAGCTACACCAGCAGGGAGGCTCAGTGGAGATCTTTTTATATGGTGTGCATTCCAATTAAGGGCAGAGCCCTCATGCCCTAAGAACCTCTCAGAGGCCACACCTCTTAATACTGCTCTTTGAGCTTAAGTTTCAACATGAATTTTGGAAAGAATATTGTCATGCAAACCAAAACAGCCTATGAGTCACATCCGGGTCTCAGAACTAAGGACCCTCCAGGCCACAGAATGCCACTTTTGTTACCATACCGTTCAGTGTTTCCTCTCTCAAATACACTCCATGACCTGATGCCACTTTCTCTGTCCACCAGCCTCCACTCTATCCTGATGCAGCTGGTCTGCACTAAAAGTCATTGCTATGCCCTGGTAACCCGAGCTAGGGTGCCACCATGGCACTGTTCCAACAGTATTCATTCTTCTGGAGTAGACCAGTGGCTGTCATTACCCATCTTGTTGTTACTGTACATCTTCAGAAAGCTAACAGCTATGCAATTCTATTCAGATAACCTGTGGGTTCTTTCCAATTGGGGTTAGTATAAAAAGGCTTGTTTTTATTTTTTGTTCTTTTTGAGACGGATTTATTATGTAGCTCAAGCTTTCTCTGATCTCATGATCCTCTTGCCTCAGCCTCTCAAATTCTGGGATTACAGGCATGTTCTACCACACCTAGCTGAATGAGGTCTTGAAAAACAACTTACTAAAAGGTTGACTTTAATTTTCAATAAGCTGCTTAACTTACCTAAGCCTAAATTGTCCATGTGCAAAAGTAGGAAGGTCAAAGACAGTACAATTACACAAACATCAACAGATGCGTTCACCTGTTATTAATGCTGTGTCATAGCTTCAGCTGTCAACTTGAAACAGCCCAGTGAAACTTGAGAAGAGGAAACTTCAGTTGAGGAATTTCCTAGAACGGATTGACTGTGACCATGTATGTGGGGCATTTTCTTAATTGTTAAGATGTGGGAATTGTTAAATGTTAATTGATGTGGGAAGGCCCAACCTACTATAGACAGTGCCATCCCTGGGCAAGTGCGTCTGGGCTATGTAAGAAAGGTAGCCAAGCAAGCCACAGGGAGCAAGCCAGGAAGCAACATGCCTCAGTGGTCTCCGCTTCATTTCCTGCCTTGCCTTCCCTCAGTGTGGGGCTGTAACTTGGAAAAATAAGCAGAAAAAAACCCCTTTCCTCCCAAAGTTGGTTTTGACCATTGTTTTATGATAGTAACAGAGAGCAAACTAGGACACATTGTTACCATTTGACTGAATTTATTTAAAAGATTATTTCTCTGTCTTACTCGGTACTTCCTCCTCAAATATGTCATTTTTTTAATTTGTTGATTTTTTTGTGTGTACTTCATACAGAACATCCCAAACAATCATATTCATCTGTATACCCACATCCCAAATGGCACCCCCCATATTTACCCCCACTGGAGCCCATATACCCTGTTACTGTCCACTGTGTTGTCAACACTTATTTAGTATCTAAAGTTACCTAAGGTTCTGTGCTAGCCCTAAAGAGACAAATGAAGCCAGTATTTCCCTACTCTCAGAAAGTTCCCAATGCAAGAGGGAAGACAGACTAGTGATTACACAAATGACAAATGTTACAAAAATAGAGGCAAAGGGCTCCTGGTCTAAGGACGAGGGCTTGTCCAGGGAATATCTCTTGGAAAAACTGATCATTAATGGCTTAAGAAAAATCAAGGCTAGCCTGGGATACATGAGACTGTCCCCCCACAAAAAGTTAATGGTTCATTAACTATGAATGAATTAAAGTTAGCTGGATATCATTAGCACTCCAAATTATAAATGTATAGCCCTAAATAGATATGGTCAGATTGCTTTCTAGAAGGAGTGTCCATATGCCTCCCTCTGTCTGGAGTATGTCTTTGCCATGCTTACCCAACTTTCAGGTGCATATGGACAGCTAAGGCTTGCTCAGCTTCGAGCATGGGTCTGG